GATCTTTGGCAAAGGTGGTTGTGTGCACTGGGGCCCCCCCGCATTATCTGACTTTTTCTGCTTTTGTGTATATTTCATATTTCCTATAACAAAACAACAGCCCCAATTGTTTTGTTTTGTGACAGAGTCTGGATCCTGCCTCAGCCTCCTGATTGCTGAGATTACAGGCACGTGCTACCACACCCAGCTAAAGCCCTGAAATGATGTTTCATTTTGTCATTTAATTTGGATGTTTTGGATCCTAAAAAGGTGTGTGTGTGTTGCTGAACATGTAACCCTAGCTATATTCCCAGCCTTTTTAATTTTTTGAGACAAAGTCTCACTAAACTGCTAAATTGCCCAGGCTATGCTTGGACTTTCAATCTTCTTAGCCTTCCAGGAGTGCTGGGATTACAGGTGCACGTGACATCATGTCTGGCTGTTATTTTTTTTTAAATTTTTTTTTTTTTTTTTTGGTATCAGGAATCAAACTCAGGACCTTGTGCTTGTGAGGCAGGTGCTTGTGCCACTGAGCTATATCCCTGACCCATGGCTGTGATTTCTTTCCTTTCTTCTTCTTTTTTTTTTTTCTTCTTTCTGTCTTTTTGAGACAGGGTCTTGCTACACAGTTTAGGCTGGACTTGAGCTCACTTTGTAGCCCAGGCTGGTCTCAGGCAGGTGCTTGAATTTTTTTTATTTTTTTGGTATTGAATCTTTCTTTTTTTTGGTACTGGGAATCGAACTCATAACCTTGCACTTGCCAGGCAGGTGCTGTGCAGCTGAGCTATATCCCCGGTCCCCCAGGCTGGTCTCAAACTCGTAAAGATCCTCCTGCCTCAGCCTCCCGAATGCGTGTGTGCCACCACGCCCAGCCTATGATTCATGCTTTCTTTTGGTTTTGCTTTTCTTTTTTGCGGACATAGCTATGGTTGTATTGTGACCCAAACTCCTTATTGTGGCTCTTCCTGGCTTCCAAAGCTGCCCCACCTATCATTCTTTCCAATCCCCACCCCCATCCTGAAACCCTCCCCTAGGGCTCCTGCTGTCACCAGCCAAGCTGAGGGAATCTGGCTGTTCTATCCAGAAGCCCTCTCTGGGTGCTACTTCTCTCCCCCTACTTGGAAATGGGGTACCTATCCCTCTGATTCATCACTGACCTGCAGACTCCCTGACTTCTGGTTGGGGCACAAGTCATCTACTGCAGCAGTCACCCAGTACCCACTCTTGCTTTGGCACCCTCACTCCCACTGCTGTGGCTGAACTCCTGCTATTGGTCTCTGTTGAGTGTTTGTGTCTGCGTGTGTAAGAGAGAGAGAGAGAGAGAGAGGCTGGGGATATAGTCCAGTGGCACAAGTGCCTGCCTGGCAAGCATAAGGACCTGAGTTTTTTGTTTTTTGTTTTTTGTTTTTTTTTCCGGTACCAGGAATTGAACCCATAACCTTGCGCTTGCCAGGCAGGTGCTGTGCTGCTGAGCTTTAAGATGCTTTTTTTTTTTTCCTGGTACCAGGAATCGAACTCATGACCTTGCACTTGCCAGGCAGGGCACTGTGCCGCTGAGCTAAATCCCCAGTCCCCGGGGCCTGAGTTTGACTCCTGGTACCAAAAAAAAAAAAAAAAGTGTGTGTCAGGGTCTCACTATGTAGTTTAGGCTGGCCTTGAGCTCACTATGTAGCCCAGGCTGGCCTCAAACTCAGTGACCCTCCTGCCTCAGCCTCCAGAGTGCTGGGATTATAGGCCACCACACTTAGTGGCCTTGGTAATTTTTTTTTTTTTTTAATCTCCCTGGGTCCTCACAGGCTTGATTGTGCTCGCTTCGCCAGCACATATACTCACAGTCTTGATCTCTTATCCCTGCTTATGAGTTTATCCTCTCCCAACCATGTGCTCTATCCCGTCACTGAAGTTACTGCCCATATTGTCATCTCAATTCCATTCCCCATTCTCTGTCCATCACCTCCTCTCTGCCCCTCCATCGTAGGCTGTCCATTGATTTCTTAGGTTGGTATTTGGCTGGAACACAGCAGTGAGAAGGGAGCCACAACACTTGAGGTTGGGCATGCTAAGGCCTCAGCCTTTGCTGGCTGGGGGTGGAGGTGCTAGAAACACAACAGTTCCCCTCATCCACTTAGGCCTGGTCTTTCTGCAACATGGGGCCTGGGCAGGACTGGGAGTGGTGCTTACACAAGCAGAGGGCAACAGTCATAAACCAACACTGGGATGTCTAACTGTGGGGGAGATGAAGACTGAGCAGAGCTGCCCTTGAGCCAGGGCAGCAAGAAGAGGTCCTCACTGGGAGGCTCTGCAGGGAGTAGCTAGCAGGCTTGTGCAGGCAGGGCCCTTAGCATCCACCAGCTGGGGGCCTTTACCCCCTCTTCCCTGTAACAAAGATTCCTAGGGCCTCAGCTTTTAGTGGGAGAGGCTCCAGGGTCCTCCGGTGGAGGTGGTGGAAACTTACTTTCCAGAATCCGAGAGTCATCAACTGTCCTCCAGCCTCTTTGGGCTGGACCTGGAATTGGACCTGAGCATCTGGAGGGCCTTGACCTCCAGATGCTCAGAATGCTGCATGGAGGCAGGGCAAGAAGACCTAAGTAATTACGCACGCGAGCAGGTGCATACTGATAGCCAAGCCCTGGACCCAGCTGCTCCTTCCCACCAGCGCCCCCAAGGGCTGCGTCATCCACCCAGGCAAGCAGGGGCCTTCCAAATGGTCTCCCCGGAGCGCCAGGCCAGGGGGACACAGGTGTCCACGCTCGAATGTCTTGTCCGTGGAGGGGGCTGGAGGCCAAAAGGGCAAGGAAATGGACAAAGAGAGGCAGGGATGAGGTTGGAGGCAGAGGATACAAGGACAGAGAGATCGGGTAGAAGGATGAGAAAACGAGAAATCAGTGTGGGGCAACAGAAGAATTGGGCCAAGAAATAGATTAGAGGGGTTAAAGGACCGAGGCCAGAACGGGTTAGAGGAGGGCAAGAGTGAGGGGGCCAGAGGAACAGAACAACGGGATGATTGGGCCAGTGGACCAGTGCAGAGGGAGAGTCGCTAGGACAGAGTTGGGGGGGCGTGTCCGGGAGGAGGCAGCCAGTGCCTGGAGAGGGGGTCGCGCCTGGTACGTCCCGCCGGCGCAGCGAGGGTCCGCCGAGTAATTAGGCCTGGTTCCAGATGGGCCCCCCCAGTCCCGCAATCAAAATGCTAATTGGCTCCGCGCCTCCGGCTGCGCCTCTGCCAGGGACCCCCTGGGAGGAAGCCAGGACGAGCGGCGCGGCCGAGGGGGACCCCCGCCTCCGCCCCGCTGTGAGCCTAGCCGGCTGGGGCTAGGCGATAAGGGGGCGGCCGCGCCCCGCCCCCACCTCTCGGGAGCGCCTGCCAAGCAAGATGAATGTCCAGTGCCTCCGCTCGGGGCCGAGCCCCACAGGGCTGGTCTTCTACACCGGTTCACCCACCACGGCGGGTCCAGGGGCTGCGGATGTGGGAGGCGGCGGGAGGCGGGCGCTGAGCTCAGCATTCTGGACGCGCCCCCGTGCGCGCGCCCGCCGGGCCTATCCGCACAAGGTCACCGTGCGCGGCGACGAGCGCGCCCCCGTCCGGTAGCTCTGGCCGCAGTCCCGAGCCGCCCCGCGACCTTGGTCCCCAGAGATAGCGAGGTGCGTGGGGCGGGCTCGGCGCAGGGAGACCCCAACGCCGGGTGGGGGAGCAGGTGAGGGGACAATGGCAGCGCCGGGCCCTAATTGGGGACATATGTACCCGCGCACGGCCATTGTGTGGCCCAGAGACCCGCTCCTCGCCATTGGCCGCCAGGCCTGACGTCATGGGGGCTGCAAACTCCGGATGGGCGGCCGCGGGAAGGGTTATCCGCCTGGTTGCGGGTCCTCGGGGGCGGCTGCAGCCGCGAGGAAGGGTGGGAACTACCAATGAAACCGCATTTTTGAAGTAAGGGCACGGCAGCCCCTCTCATCTTGCACAACCGATCGCTGCAACATTCACCCCACTGGAGAGGCGGGGGCGGGGAGCCCCCTCCGGCGGGTACGGGGTCAACCCGGGTGACCGAGTGGCAGGAGACACTGCGGCACCAGGCGCACGCCGTGCTTCCACGCTGCGCTTTCGCTGCCTCAGCATGGCCCTCCGCCTCCCGCCCCTCCTCACGGCCCGCGCTCTCCTACAGACCAACCGATTCGTTTGCGTCCCCCTAAGTGACCCCCGAGTCCAGGCGCGTGGGTGCCAGGCCCGTTGCCACCTCTCGCCACACGCCCAAACATGCCGCCAACCGCTGGGCCGCCCCTACTGAGCCGTGCAGGGAACTCCCCGCACGCCCAAGCTAGGCTTCCCCGGGACCCCTCCCCAGGGACCCCGGCCCGACTCAGCGCAGCCATTTCCGCTGGCCTCTTCCTCCCCCTCCCCCAGCTTCTGGCTTTAAAAGCTGGAGGCTGGGCTCGGCCACAGGCAGAAGAGGCTGCGGGCTCGGAGGCCGGCCCGGGAGAGTCCGAGCGCCAGCCCCGCCCCCGGAGCCCCGCCGTCCCTCCTCCTCTCT